GGGTATATTAGTTTGAGATTTTACTTCCGTTTATCAGGATTTGTGATTTTTCGTGGTATTAATATAATTTAACGAAAATTAACAGAGAGTAAATTTGTCACAAATGTAACTGTTTGAGGTTTTTTGTGGTCAAAAAATTAATTTATTATAAAAATATTATAGGAGTACCAGTTTAGGGTTTTTCGTGTTAATAGCCCTTTTTGTTTAGATGATTGGGGGCACAAGTGTGGGGACTTGACTATTTAGAGATTCATAGAGCACCTTGTAAGTCTCGTAAATAAGTGAAATCGAAGCTTTGGTATGTAAAAGTGGCCCTAATTTAGAGTAGTTTGCACGAGTGACCTTTCTAGTTCCTGAGTTAGAAATTCCGAGCGCTCTAATTGATTGCGCCAATCTGGAGCTTAACTTGGCCTTTTTGGATAAGGGATTAGTCGATCCTTGATGATAGTGTATTGTTTTTTGTTTTGTTTAATTTAGTTCTTGAACTTTCAAAAGTTTCGTAGTCCTTTCGTTAAAAATTCCAACATCATTAGCTAATGTGGCCACAATTTGTAATGACTCGACGTTAGATTTGTCATGCGTCGGTGTTCAAATGATTTACTTGTGGTTTTCAAATCGTCTCTCTCTCTCTCTCTCTCTCAATATCCCAAAAAGAAATGAAACCTTTTTTGTTGCTTCGGGAAAATAGCACGTCGGTTCACATCCTATCCTGGCCCAGTAAGTGCACATACAGTCTACGCAAAAATGATGCAATTGATTCGTCAATATACTAAAATAGAGGGACTAGATTGAGTTACTTTTTAGAAATTTAAGGATCGGATCGGATCGAATAAAAAAAAGAAAAGAAGGCTCGAAGACTATACCGAACCTCGAAGAAAATGTCGCGGACCACCTAAATTATTACCCCCCGGAAAAAAAAACAAAATTTAGGGAGCTAGGCTTTTAGTAGCCTTTGGAGCAAATATCCAAAACCTTCCAAAACAAAATCAACGTCTACCGTGCATCTCAGATTTTTCCCATCGCACGTTATAATTTCGTCGTCCCTTTTCGATGCGTCGTTGAAAGGATTCATCCAACGGCTAGCTAGAGGAGGCCCCACGCACACTGAAGCGCATAACGAAAGCTGTTTTCCTAGGCGAAACGATGACACCGGCGTTAACGAAAGCTGTTTTTTTTATTTTATTTTATTTTCTTTTCTTTTCAGCAAAAAAAAATGATGTAAAATTTAAAAGTAAAAAAAAGGGAAAAAGAAAAGGACAGAAATTGTCCGGCCTGACTTAACACCCGCCCGCGTGTGCAAACCTGTCTCGATCGGATTGAGATCGAGTTAGTCAATGTTAATCCTGCAATCGACCGCCCTTGTTTTTTTTTTTTTTTGATGACCCGAGAACCGCCGTACAACCGATAAAATCGACCGCCCTTTGGTTTTTTTTTAAATAATCCAAGAATCAAATTCAATCCACGAGAGTCTTCCATCTATTTCTCTCTGTTTTTTTGGGTTTCTAGAAGGGGGAAGTTTTAAAAATTCTAATCTTAATCCGTAGTTGGTTTGATTTTTTTTGGGGGATTGTTTTTATATGTGCCGACTAGGCAGATATAATACACGTTCGATTCTAACAACCACGAAGCACGGAATTTCCACGCTTGAGCCGTGCATTTGGATTGCAGCTCGCGTCTCTCTTGATCCGTAGGATCGATACCGTACCTTGTAAGCAAAATATATTCCTATAGGTTTGAAAGCCCACTTGACCCTCCCTCGAGTCGTCTTATGAGGTACTTACTCCGTGCAATCTAGTCCCACCAATCGAGTCCATCCCAGCGTGCTCAATCAGAGCCCCCGCCCGAATTACTCTGGCGGAGCCTGTCGTCGCCGGGCCACCGAGACGTGCCGATGCTCCCCCCACTCCATACATCAGAGAGCGCACGGACCGTTCATGCGTTCACCCACGGCATGGCATAGGCTCGTGGCCTCGCCAAAAGAAAAATAAAAGGCGGGGCCCGAGATGATCAAGCCAAACGCCGGATGATAATCCCAATCCGTAAGCCCCTCGAGTCAAGTGGCTTATCGCGGTCATAGCCGGATAAAATCGGGACGATACTACCTCGTGTCTCGAATTAAGAAAAGAAAATCACGTCAATTCGGGAACGATCTCCATAACGGATGACTTTCGGAAAGTAACTCCTCCTTCCTCCGCTACAAGATAAGGATCCCGCAGGGGAGGCGATGCTCTCTCGACTTTTGATCGATTTTTTCTTCTTTTCTTTCATCGCAAATAAAAAATCCTTTTTTTTTTTATCGCCACGGCCGAAAGATTACCGGAAAAAAGATTGGGGGGGAGGCCGTTTTCCGATTTATTATTTATCTGCGCGATTTGTTGTCGGACCCAAGGAACGAATAAGGTCCCTTTAAAGAAAAAACAAAATGTCCGGCGGAAAAAGAAGAAAAAAATCGCAAAAATCGAAATTTTCCCTAATAAAAAAAGAAGTTTTGGTCTTTTTTTTTTTTTTTTTTTTTGCGATTTTTATATTTTTATTGGAAAGGCCGGGGGGGCGTAGAAAGAGACAGCGAGGAAAAACCAGCCAACAGCTTTGGGTTGCTTTGCCGGAGGGCAAGAAAGCCGAGCTCCGCGGGCCCCACCGCCCCCCCCCCCCCGACGACCCTGACAGTTATCTGTTGCTGGCCGGCCCTCCCTCCGGCTTTATTTTTTATTTTATTTTAATTTTTTAATTAAAGCAGCATTTCCAATCTCTCTCGATAATGTCGAGGTGGTCGTGAAATCCATCATTTCCTTTCTTTCTTTTTCTCTTTTTTCTCTTTTTTTTTTGGTTCCTCAAAAGGAATCGTTTTATTTTATTGAAACTTTCTTTTTTTTTTTTTGGGGTCAGAAAGGGGTTCTTTCCAATTCGTTCGCACAAGAAAATGATGGTGCGACAGGGTGTTCCGAGAAGACATTCTCGGTGTGAACGAATTAGTCGCATAAAAGAAAAAAAGAAAAAGGAAAAAAGAGAATAATGAATTTAGGTGAGACGTGTGGGAAACAATTGCTTCGCTTCTCTTGGTTGGATACGATTGGAATCCGGAGGCCGCTATGAAGGTCGTGGTGTTTCGTGCGGGTTTTTCCTTTTCTTCCCTTTTTTTTTTGGTCGAGGGAAATGAAGCGAAAAGAATATTTTTTTGCACCTGTCACACTCTCTCTCCTTCCCCGTTTTTATCCTAAAGTTGGCGTTTCTGCGCAACACAGGAGGCTGCTCAAAAGGGGGGGTCGCGCCCGCAAGTCAAAGTGACCACACGGGTAACACGTGAAATTACCCCGAGTTTCATCCTAGCCAGCACCCCACATCATGATTAGTTTTCCTCGTGGGAATCTGATCGGGAGGGGCCTTGATTGTCTAGGTTTAAATTTCGAATAACAAGTTACCCCATTCATGTTCTTGCCGAGATTTAACATATATGTTGTCCGGAATTGTAAAAAGTACGACGGGATATTCGTGAATTCACGTGTCGATTGGTAAAAGAGTGTGCAATGAACAATTCAAATGTAGGCATGTCGATATTGTGGCATAGGCCACAAGTGATAGAGCTCTGATCGATGGGCTCTTGAAAAACTTCATTAGTGTTCATCGGCTCGGTGCAATAGAGTAAGGCTACGATGATAAAGATTGGTTTTATGCAATTGATGTAATAAACGCTAGAGAGAATCTAAAAAAGGCAATTTGTATTTTAAACTTTTAGCGAGTCTTCAGTTTAGTATCGGAATATCAAGAAACCGTCGTGCTTTTAGCATTCTTATTGCCGCGAAACTACCAATGCATTCATTTTTAGGCACCAGATAGGGGGAAGGTACCATTTCCGATTGGTTGGGAATAGCACAGTTTAGGGAACTTAAGATATGAGCTAATGGCATGTGGTTGAGTGAACTAACTCGTACTTCAAAGTTTTATCCCAAGCTTGATACCATCCCTCCTTCCTACCCCCACACAAGGTTTTTGTATATGTTAGCCCTCTCTCTCTCTCTCTCTCTCTCTAGCAATGCCTAATCAAGTTCTAAACTTTGCTTGTGAAGGAATAATCAGCTCAATACCCCAATAGACTATAGGGATTGCTTTGCAGGTGGGGGCTGCAAAGGCAATCATTTAGAACACAGCATGACCCTATAACTCTAAATATGTGTGCATCCAAGTTGCAATTTAGAAAAAAGAAGAAAGAAGATAACATCTACCTCCAATGCGCCTTCGGGTCGTGTTTCGTACCAACTTATCGGCTATTTCCGATTCCATTCAAACGCGAATTGTTTTCCAAAAAATCGCGGGAAATTACAAGCGATCATAACAGTAAACTGCGGCATTAGGGCAAAGGCCAAATAACTCTCGACCCCGAATCGGGTGTGTTCAGATAACTCGAAACCTTCACAGTTTTGTGGACAACAACGGCACGGAGAATTTCATCAATCTTTTGAAATTTTATTGATGGGGTGAGAAAATTCTTCTTTGCATTTATTTTTTTTCGGGGGGCAATCAATCCGGGGGGAAGTAACGGGGGGGGAAAAGAAACGGACGACATGCTATTCCCCACACGATCATCACGCTTTGGAGAAAAAAAACACACGAAGAGAGAGGCAGGCGGAGGAGGAGTGGGGGATTACTGCGCCGTGGAATAGCGGTTTTTTTTTTTTTTTTTGAAAAAAAGGGAGAGGGAGAGGGAGAGGGAGAGGGAGAGAGACGTGCGGGGGGGGAGGGCGTGGGGCCCAAGCTAAACGAAAGTGGTGTACGAGCTGGCAATCTCACTCTGACAGTCTGTTCCCTTCTCTCTCCACTCCCCCGCTCCTACAAACACACCACCACCAACTCCCATACCCTCCAACACCGCCCCCTCAAAAAAACCTCTCCTCCCCCCTCTTCCTTCTTCCCACTGCACACCCCGAACCCACCCTCCCTCTCCTTCTCCTTCTCCTTCTCTTTCTCTGCGACGGTTGTCGTTTTCTGTCTGTTGTCCGTGTCAACTTGCTCGTCCATCCATGGCCGAAGAGACCCAGAAGCCTGCTGCCGAGACCGCCGCCGCCGCCGCCGCCGTTGTCGCCGTCGCCGAGGAGGTCGTGGTCGTGCCCGACGTGCCCCCTCCCGAGAAGGAGCTCCCCTCGGCGCCCGAGCCCGAGGAGGCGCCCGAGAAGCCCGCCGCGGTCGCCGGGGAGCCGGCCGCAGCGGAGGAGAAGGAGGCCAAGGCGGTCGAGGAGGAGAAGGTGGCGGAGAGGATCACCGAGTCCGTGTCCTACAAGGAGACCAACGTGTACGCGGAGCTGCCCGAGGCGCACAGGAAGGCCCTCGACGAGCTCAAGGTGCTGATCCAGGAGGCCCTCAACAAGCACGAGCTGAGCGCTCCTCCTCCTCCGCCGCCGCCCGCGCCGGCGGCGGCCAAGGAGGAGGAGAAGCCGGCCGAGGAGGAGAAGAAGGAAGTCGAAGAGGAGAAGGCCGAGGAGAAGGCGGCGGAGGCGGAGGCGGAGCCGGCGGCTCCTGCCGAAGAGGCTCCGAAGGCCGAGGCCGAGGCGGAGGCGCCGCCGCCGCCGCCTGCGGCTGAAGAGAAGGTGGAAGAGGAGGCGGCTGCTGCGCCTCCCGCTGAAAAGATGGCGGTGGTCGTCGAGGAGGTGGTGGAGAAATTGCGGGCGGAGGTCGATGAGGACGGAGCCAAGACCGTCGAGGTAGACAAGGAGACGATCGTGGAAGTCGCCACCTCCGCTGCTGTGGCCGAGCCGGAGCCGGTCAAGGAAGCGGAGCCCGCTTCCGAGGCAGCCGAGCCGCCCAAGGAGGAAGCCGATGCCACCCCACCGCCTCCGCCGGAGGAAGTGTCCATCTGGGGAATTCCTCTCCTGGCTGACGAAAAGAGCGACGTGATCCTGCTCAAGTTCTTGAGGGCCAGGGACTTCAAGGTGAAGGACGCCTTCGTGATGATCAAGAACACGGTCCGCTGGCGGAAGGAGTTCGGGATCGAGGCCATCCTCGAGGAAGAGCTTGGCACCGAGCTCGACAAGGTCGTGTTCACGCACGGATTCGACACCGAGGGCCACCCCGTCTGCTACAACGTGTACGGGGAGTTCCAGAACAAGGACCTGTACCAGAGCGCTTTCGCGGATGAAGAGAAGCGCAAGAAGTTCTTGAAGTGGAGGATTCAGTTCCTGGAGAAGAGCATCAGGAAGCTCGACTTCAGCCCCACCGGTGTTTGCACTATTTTCCAAGTGAACGATCTCAAGAATTCACCTGGACCTGCTAAGAGAGAGCTGAGGCAGGCGACCAGCCAAGCCCTCCAGTTGCTTCAGGACAATTACCCCGAGTTCGTGGCCAAGCAGGTGAAACAGTCATCTCTGCCGTTGTTGGAATTCTTGTTCTTTCTTTCTTTCTTTGAAGGGTAGGAAAAAAGTTGCCCTTTTTAAAGATTGGGAAGTGGATTTTTTATCGTTGGGGTGTTGGTCTGTTTTTGCAGGTGTTCATAAATGTTCCATGGTGGTATTTGGTCTTCAACAGGATGATCAGTCCCTTCCTGACTCAGAGAACCAAGAGCAAGTTTGTGGTTTCCAGATCTACTGAGATCCTTTTCAAGTGAGTATTAATTGCTCCGTTCGATTCTTTGCTTTGCCAATTTTGCTTCATGCTCCATCAACAGTACCTGTTGTTTCGCCCCTATTTATTGGTCTTAGCTACTCAATTATCGTGTTCCTTGGCCATATTTTTGCTGGTTCAATTCTTCGGTTTTTTTTTCTTTTGTTGGCCCCCAGAGAAATCTTTTGACAATTCCCTGTGACAAATTTGCTTGAGTATCTGTTGCCTCGATTGTTCTCTCTCTTATTCCTTGCGACTGTTTGAGGGCGAGTCTGTAATATCTAAAGAGCATGACTTTCCTGTAACATGGATATTAAGGACGGTGCTTAACCTGAAGTCGAGGGCCCTATATGCGTGTCGTGTCGTCCCACGTGAGAGATCGATTATTTAGAGTTCTCGTTTTTGATTTCTTGGTGGCGTGATACCTGTGAAACATGTCGCATGTGAATGTGTATTGGCTCATGACAGCTACTGTTTGCAACCTAGTTTCCTTTCTTTTGTTTCGTTGTGTGTCTAATTTGTTTCTTCAATTTGCAATTGAACAGATACATAGCCCCCGAACAAGTCCCAGTGCAGTACGGTGGGCTGAGTAGGGAGGGCGAGCATGAGTTCACCACTGCCGATGCTGCCACTGACTTCACTGTCAAGCCGTACTCGAAGCACACCATTGAGTTCCCTGTCACAGAGGTATCCCTAAGATTCATCCGCATTTCTGTTGAAAAATTTTGCATGCTTCATCCAATTGACCGAGAATTTTCTTAACTGTGCAGAAATGTCTTCTTGTTTGGGAAGTTCGGGTCGTCGGTTGGGACGTCGTATATGGAGCTGAGTTCGTGCCGAGCGCAGAAGGCGCCTACACAGTGATTGTGCAGAAGACAAGGAAGGTCGCCCCTGCCGATGAAACAATAATCAGTGAGACCTTCAAAGGCGGAGAGGCTGGCAAGATTGTTCTGACCATCGATAACCAATCCTCCAAGAAGAAGAAGCTCCTCTACAGGTCCAAGACAAAAGCCTACTCTGACTGAACTGCAGATTGAAAATGAATCCCATGTTCAATCATCGGCTAAAACTGCAGGGAAAAAGAAGGGGTTGGGGGGCCCTGTCTTCCAAAATCTGTCCTTTCATGGTCATTCACTTTGTCTGAAATCATAATTTAATTTCCTATATTTCGTGTCTGGGGATTTTTTATTTTCCAAATTTCCTTATTTATTTCATACGTTTTAAGGTCCTAGTTTTGGGGATTTGGTGGTTTTTGGTATTGGAATGCACATACCTTCCTGCTGAATTGGGGGAGCATTTGAGGTTTATGTCATCATTTATGTAAAGGGATGGTAATGTTTTGTTGGCTGTGAATAGACTCTGTTCTTGTTCACGATACTCTGTATAAATGGTGTAAATTTGATGGTCTCTTCGTTTTGGCTTGTGTCATTTCTGTGTGCTGTGTACGATGTTGTTTCCTCAAGAATTCTGGGAATCTTCGGGTGGTGAAGGTGTTGGGTGTTTTGACAAAATGGGAACCTTGGTTTGGAAAAACTTGGGATCCCATTTGCTGGAATCTAGCTGATTTACTTCTTCCGCCAGCCGCAATTATAAATTATATAAGTGAGAACGCAGGCCGGGTGGGGGGGGACATGCACTCTTGCTTTTGTCCTGATCAAAACTGATGATTTTGTCTTCAAAAGGTTTGAAATGTATGCATGCGATGTAATCCTGCAAACCACTCCTAAGTCCTAATGATCCAAGAGCACTAAGTCCATTGTTCTTCACCAACCCAACATCGGGCACGATTACTGGTTCACGCACCAGAGCACGCCTTACTGATAAGCACCTTGGAAAAGGAGGATGAAGACGGTACTTTGCCTTGTGGGGGCTTAAGCTATTTAGGGTCTTTACATGCTTTGTTAACATTAGATTCCATTCTAATTAAAGTTGCTGTCTAATCATTTTTCTCCACCATCATACTATAAGATTGGGATACTTTTGAGAACCAGGGAAGGCCCCGTGAAGCTAATCATAGCAGAGATTCCAGGTTCCATGGTGGTGAGACGTCGCTGCCGACCCAATTTAAAATTAGGTCATGTCGCGTAGTGTCTAATTCAGCAAATTTATAATGAAAAAAAAAACAATGGTCATAGAGCCGGGAATCAGATAATAACGCAGACAATTAAAATTAATTGTCTTTAATAAAAAAGAAATTTCGGAAGGGAAAGAAAACCACCAACCTGGGCCAGATGTTGTGGGTAGCGAAACGACTGCCGGGCCGACGAACCGTTGCGTCAATTTGGACGGACCGCGAGCAATGATGCGGTCGTTCTCAACGTTGGCATTTCGCATCGCTTTCGTGGTCCTCCGGGGGACTCAGCTCGAATTTATTAGAGGGGCGCGTATGGGAGGAGGGATGGGGCACAGGCATTGGATCCGGAAGGATGGTGAGCGGTCAGGAATCCGTGAATGAGGCCTCCCCTCTTGCGGAAACTGACTTCTCGGGACAGCGACCGTCACGGCGGTGACCAGGGGATGTGGACGTAGTGGCAAGTACGACTCGATTGTTAAAGAAATATCAGAATGACATCAGATTCCCACTTTCTCGAATACGTCCGAGGGATTCAAGATAAGTCCTGGGATCTTAGAGAGACGGTCCCGTGGTTCGGGAGAGGTAGGGGAGATGGGAAAGCAAAGCGAAGAAGTAAACCGGGAAAAATCGTTTCTTGATTGGAAGAATTCGTAAGAAGAATCTAGGATTGGTGTTCAGATACATGTGCTGGTTTTTGACGCCGAGTTTGCGGCGTCGCCGAACCTGACGTTCGGATCGGTCGGATTCGTGCGATACCCCGTTATTTCGGCACGATACCGAGCGTTCACAGAGATCGAATCCCGAACTCGATATTCTCTGGCCCCCACGCCTCAATCCTTTTACCAGCAGGGCGGCGTGTCTATTGATGATGGGGAGACGTTGTTGAAGTTACGTGATGTCATGTGGTGGAGCCACATGGATCCAACGCGTGCCATTGGCTTTTCTTGAACTGACCCGAATGTTGTAATTGAAACGGGCCCTTCCTTCAGTCAGGGAAGACGCCCAAGAAAATGCATTTTGGCCTCCCAAGAATCCACTAAGAACTCAAACACACCGCCTACAATGTCTAATGTTCGGGCCCCAAAGGAAAATAGCTAATGAGACTTTGGGCAAAATGCCATGATCTTCCTCTGAGAGGCCCCGTTGTGGCAGCCGGGATAAGAGACTTAGGCTGCGCATGGCAATCATTCTATGTCCAGAATCTGATTCTCGGCAGAAATGATTCTTTTTTATTCTGTGCCCGGAAACAATTTCTAAGCATTTGAAGGCGTTTGGTAACTGTCCAAAATTTTTGTTCTTAGAATAGAAAAAGAACATAAATGCGTTTGGTAACTACACAAAATTTCTTTTTATTAATAATATTTTGAATTTTTTAATATTTATTTCTTTTTTTTCTCTTTTTTTTTTCTTTCTTTCCCCGTCCTTTCTTGGCCATGGCCGGCCGCCGGCACCGGTGATCGGCCACAGGCCAGGGCCGGCGAGGTCGGCCTCGCCTTGGCTGGGCGAGGCCGCGAGCCGCACTCGCCTAGGCGGCGAGGGGGACCCTCGCCGACCATCAGCGAGGGCCGCGACGCCCTCGCCGGCCCTGGCTTGTGGCCAGTCGTCGGCGGCTAGCGGAGGTGGCCGGCGGAGGTGGCCAATGGCTGGCGGGTGGCGGGGCCGAAGAACAACAACAACAACAAAAAAAAAGAAAAAAACCAAGAAGAATCAGTTTTGAAAAAATTGTTCCAGAATCAAGAAGCTACTTTTTTTTTTATTCTTGATTATGTTCCAAAACTGATTCTGGGTACAAAAAATTTAACAAACGGATTTCTGTTCCCAAATTGATTCTGGGAACAAAAGAATAAAATCAAGGGAAAAAACCACCAAAAACCCCAAACTTTGCCATTTGTGACACATTTACCCCGAACTTTTTTTTGTGACACCAAAAATCCCGAACTTTGCTTTTTGTGACACATTTACCCCAATATATTTAGTCCATGGGCATTTTCGTCTTTTTGCTTTTTCTTTTTCTTTCTTTTTTTTTCCTTCCGTGAGGGGGCCCTCGCGCTGTCGAGCGAGGGCGGCCTCGCGCATCCGGCGAGGCGGCCCTCGCCGGCGTCGGCGAGGTTCGCCTCGCCGGCGAGCGAGGGCGCCTCGCCCGACTCGAGCGAGGTCGACCCTCGCCGGCGTCGGGCGAGGGTCGACCTCGCTCGAGCTCGGGCGAGGTCGACCTCGCCGAGCCTGGGCGAGGGCGCCTCGCTTGCCCAGGCGAGGCGACCCTGGCGTTGGGCGAGGTCCGCTCGCTCGGGTGAGCGAGGGCGGCCTCGCCCGATCCGGCGAGGTCGACCCTCGCCGGCGTCGGCGAGGGTCGCCCTCACCTAGGCGAGCGAGGCGGCCCTCGCCGACGCCGGCGAGGGCGGCCCTCGCAGATCGGGCGAGGGCGACCTCGCCGGCGTCGAGCGAGGGTCGCCCTCGCCGATCCGGGCGAGGGCCGCCCTCGCTCGGACGCCGGCGAGGTCGACCTCGCCAGATCGGCGAGGGCCGCCCTCGCTCGCCCAGCGAGGGCGGCCCTCGCCGGCGTCGGGCGAGGGTCGCTCGCTCGGGCGAGCGAGGGCGGCCCTCGCCGACTCAAGCGAGGTCGACCTCGCTCGACGCCGGCGAGGGTCGACTCGCCGGGAAGCCGGGCGAGGGCCGCCTCGCTCGGGCGAGCGAGGGCGGCCTCGCCCGATCCGGCGAGGTCGACCTCACCGCTGCCGAGCGAGGGCGGCCTCGCGCATCCGGCGAGGCGGCCTCGCCGGCGCCGGCGAGGTTCGCCCTCGCCGGGCGAGCGAGGGCGGCCTCGCCCGACTCAGCGAGGTCAACCTCGCCGGCGTCGGCGAGGGTCGACCTCGCTCGAGCCGGGCGAGGGCCGCCTCGCTCGCCCAGCGAGGGCGACCTCGCCGGCGTCGGCGAGGGCGGCCCGACGCCGGCGAGGGTTGACCTCGCTCGAGTCGGGCGAGGGCCGCCTCGCTCGCCCGAGCGAGGGCGAACCTCGCCGACGCCGGCGAGGGCCGCCTCGCCGGATCTCGGCGAGGGCCGCCCTCGCTCGGACGCGGCGAGGGCCCCCTCACGGAAAGGAAAAAAAAGAAAAAGCGAAAAAGACGAAAATGCCAATGGACTAAATACATTGGGGTAAATGTGTCACAAAAAGCAAAGTTCGGGGTTTTTGGTGTCACAAAAAAAAGTTCGGGGTAAATGTGTCACAGATGGCAAAGTTTGGGGTTTTTGGTGGTTTTTTCCCTAAAATCAATCACCATTTAGCAAGTTGCCAAACAGGCCCTTAGAGCTCGGCGGCCGGATCTGATTTATCCTATTCCGTGTCTGGCGACGTACCCAGAAGTCATTTACGTGCTTGCCCTTGCGTTATCTTCTGAATCTAAGGTGAAAGCGAGGTCCGTCTAGCTTTTTCACTTTCCGTATTACCCTCGCACCATTTTCTGTCTTTAAAACGAAATATCTCATTTTCTGTTCTGCACTTTAATTTACTTTTCTCGTTAAAAAAAAAAAAAAAGCTTACAAAGGCTAAAATCGTAAAATCATCATCAAAAAAGTACCCACTACTTTTCAGATAAAAAAAAAATACTCACTAAGAAATACTGCTCAAATTCATGTACCAAACATGCGGCGTGCGTAGCGCAAGTTAGTTCTAGTTTGTATTAAGCGAAACATATTCATGTCATGAAGTAAGGTATATCTCTGCGGCCAAAAAAAAAGGGTATGCAATAATTACAAGTACGAAAAAAAATCTAATTAGACATTAGATCTATCACTTAATAAAGTAGAATTCGTCGATTGCATAACTATAAATTATTTTCACTATAAACAATCTTAATCTAAGATTACATTTGAAGATATAAGTGATTGGAGATCACAAATAAGTTAGGAGTAATTACTGAACGAGTGCAAAAAAGGCCACAAAAACAAATGAAAGAAAACGATATCAGTGTTTGTCCGTTTTGGGGAAAATTTCATGATAAAAAAAAAGATTAGAAATGCTTCTTGAAAAATCATTTTTCTAGAAAAACGTTTTCCCCAAGTTAGAGAGCTCATTTTTCTTATTGTTAAGCATGTATATTTTCTTTAACCGTAAATTATTTTTCGTTGACCGATCATTTTCAACAAACCGTGAATGCGAGTTTTCTGGAAGCTCAAACGTATAGCTGATTCAGATTTATATCACACGGGGATTCTGATTGTCTCGCTACACCGTGCCAGTGATGCCGCTAATACGTGAAATGCTTTCTCTTCCTGGATACAACTAGGTGCTTGTAAGAGGTCGAAGACTCGGATCCCGTTTCGCGCATCTCCCCTTTGACATGCAAAAGAGGCCGAGGGGTTATCAACATTGCTAACTCGTTCGAGCATCGCATGCACGAGCGTTTCATTGCACATCCATTAGAAAAATGTTCAACTTAAGCACGATTGCTTAATATGAAAGCTCGAAGTCGACGAGCCTTATCACAAACTTTTTTTTTAGGAAAATGTCGTCGATAATAAATATATATTCTTTATTAATTAATTATTTCAAGCGTTAGAAGGTATTGTATTTAGGAAAATGTTTCGATAGGAAAAAGAAATGAGAATCACATAGGTCGGTAACCGCCGCGGGCGCAGGGCGTTCCCGGTTTGCCTTGATTGGGAAGGGTATTAGCCGACGTAGCCCCGAGACTTTCGCTGTTTCTCTGGAGATTCTATCGTCTCGTCTTGTCTTCCTTCCTTCCTTCCTTCGATCATCGTTCGAGCGATTGCGATCACCACAGGCCGACGTCGAACCGGAGAAGGCGATTGCGATCCGATCGATCGGCGGCGGCGGCGGCGGCGGAAGGGTGGGGCTCATGACGTGAAATGGAGGGACCTCCCGAGAACGACTTCTGCTCCGTCTGCCAGGGCGTCTTCCGCGTCCCTTGCCAGGCCAATTGCTCCCACTGGTTCTGCGGTTCGTCCCCTTCATCCTCGTCCGATCGCGATGCGCTCGCGCGCCTGAGGGTTTTTTTTTAGAGTCTGCGGATTCGGTGCATCTCGATTTTGCCGGTTCTCGTGCTGGCCCCCTCCCCCCGCCTCTTTCGATTTTTCGGATCCCTGGCTTCGCGTGCGCTTGTGAATGTGGTGGGGTTTAGGGTAACGATTTCCTTCACGGGGATGACGTGTGGTTCGGTTGCTTTCCGGTGGTGTCAGGAGACTGCATCATGCTCGTGTGGCACCATAGCTCCGCGCTTCAGCCCTGCAAGTGCCCCTTGTGCCGCCGCCTCATCACTCTGTTGGTTCCCGCCGAGGCTTCGTTGCAGCTGCGTCATGACCCCGCCACTTCCGAGATTCTGCGCAAGGTCGAAACGTACAACCGTACTTTCGGCGGGAGGAGCGATGGTCTGATCCAGGTAATTGTATCTGCCTACGCGCCGTTCCGGTGCTACACCTGCATTCGATCGGTCGCTCGATTTCGAGGAGTTAGAATGGCTTCGTCATTTCTCGAGCCCGTTCGTGTGGTGATTGTGGAGTGTTTGCGCCCTATTAGGAAGTTTCAGGTCAGGTGGTCCGGTACAATGAACGAAACTTGGAAGTTTGTTAGCAGGAGAGAAACTAGACAATGTTCGTCCACATACCTTGCTAAAGTGTGGCCTCTTGTGCAGAAAATTGTGGAATGTTGAGTGCCTACATGCCTGCGGCATCTCGTTTCCTTTGTAATGATGTCGGCGAGTCTGGAGGAGGATTGTTTTCACTTTCCTCTTCTGATGTATGGTTCATAGTGTTGAATTGAAGGAATTAAGGGTTGATCGGGATGTGTGTTTGTTACAACCCCATATGCATATTATTACTCCTCACAATTTTACTACTGGTGCTTCTCTAGACCTAAATTTGGCACGGTTATCGTTTTATCAGCTATCTGTATGGTATGATCTTATGTGTTCTCTTAAAGAACCAATCATTATGAGGAGGATAAGGGACCAACTTATCTCACATTCTCATTCCTGTCCCATATTCAATTTCCAGTCTTTGTATCTGTAAGGCCTTGTCTTTTTTTGGATGACGTATTTTTGTACCTTGGGAGCACTATAATTGTTGGTGTTCCCTTAGAACGGCATACTTGCATGTGCCATGAGGAGGACACGGAAGAAGAAAGAAACCAAACGACGTTTACTGAATTGGATGTTAGAAGGCACAGGTACTCGGGGTGCATGATCATGAGTATGAGTTAGCAAATGAATACATTAACTCGAGAGTGGTCGGCGTATTAAATTAACCTTTCAGTTGTTTACTTTTTCTTTCCATTTATGTTCAACATAATCTATCATTTAATATCATGATGTCCATAATAAAAAATTATGTTACCTGCTTGTGGCCTTAATTGTTCATTGCTTGCTGACTTTCGTAGTTGAATACATTCAGTCTTTACGGTTATGGACATTTACATTGGAGTATGTTCTTTTTGTTTCCCCATAGAGGATGCAAGACCTTCCTTTCTTCTTGAGAAGGCTGGCACGAGAACTGATGGATCCTGAAAGATCTCTTCCTTTCATAATCAGGGCACGCGTCTATATTTCAGTAAGTGAAGAATCCAATTTCATTTGCAGTATTTCTAATGTCTGCTGAAATTTTCTTCACATAACAAAAGTCCATATATGCTGGGAAATTTTTCTTGAGTTTTTAACCTGGAAAGCTGGCATTCCTTGCTCGCTGTTACTCTCATGTGTTTTATTAAAATATCTCTCCTTTGCAGAGTCTTAAACTGAATTCTATAGAATCTGTACATACACAATCAAATATGGACATGTTGATGTACTATTTAAACTGATTGGAAATCTGTTTTGAGCCTGTCACGGGGCATACGGAGTCTTCTCTGGTATTTCAGATCAAGTCTCTTCAATTAGAACGAAAATTCTATGAAGAAGTCTGTGCTTGAGCTAATAGTTTGGTATACTGTATTAGTACTCAATGATTCTCATACGTTTAACCGTAAAAGCCAAAGTTGAAGCACATTTAAAATGCAACTGCCTGTTGCTAGAGCTGTTAGAGCTAGGAACATGAGCGACCACCCTTTCACCAACCCAAAATAAAGCTAACCACCCAGAAATAGGCAAGTAGCCTCAGCCCAATTCTGCCGTATATGGAAGGAAGCAGCAAGATGAGGCTGAAGACTCAAGACTAAGATTGCTTCCCATCACTCCAAACTATTCCATGGTGTATTCTTTGCAATCAGAAGAACTTTTTCCTTTTGGTTTTTAAGGGATGCATCGGTTATCTTAAGCTCACATTGTCTCTAGAGATCCTCAGAGGTCATAGCAAGTACCCAATTTGCTTCTTGACAATATATCCGAGGGGCAACCATGCTTTATCTGATTGAAAGTCCAAACTTTTAGTAATATTTTGTGGATATTTGTGATGAGAGTGATGGATCTTTTGGGATATTTCATTATGTTATATTTTTGTTGATTTTGTCAAAAGATTGTATGTGTTGCGTCAGTAAATACTTGTGTTGTTCAAACATACGAATCGTTGTCCATATGTGGTTGGAAGCTCAGGAGCAAATCGGCTGGGACTTCCATTGAAATTAAAGCTTATTGAGTTTTTGTTTTTTGTGTGGGGGGTGGGGTGTGGGGTGGGGGTGGAGGGAGGGAGAGGATGAAAGAATTAGGGGTAGCACTACGTAAACAGAAAATCAATAACGTGAGAAAAGAGGAGGGTTGGGAGGTTATCAGGAAAATCCAGTTATTAGATGGTCAAGTAGCTTACATAGATTATGCTGTATGCAACTGTGTCTTCTATTCTTCTCCTATGTGGAGAGGAGGTGTCAGGAAACTGGGAAAAGTTAAGTGGGGCTACGTGATGCTTCCTTTTGTTTGTTTGCCTGTCATGTAGTACCTTGAAATTGCTTCCATTTTATATGTCGGACGATCTTCTTCTGTGTGCGGGTGCATTTCAGAAAACAAGGTTGGGGGTGGGGGAGGGGGGGGGGGGGGGGGGGCGCAAAGTTGGGTGGTGGGGATTCAAGACACCAGTATCCAGTGCTCTAGAGTTGTAATATTAATTACATCTGATGTATAAGTAGTTAATAGAACTATCAAAGTGATGGAACCTTAAAAGCGGACAGGTCATTAAATTAAAACATGTGCTTCCATAATCACTTGGCTGGGGGAAAGTTTCGGGCATGCCTTAATCATGTTCAGAGGATTATTCTCTTTGCTTTTCTGCTCTACCTGCAGATGAAATCTCATCTTGTTTTACTTTTACAGATGGTTTTAAGTGTAATCTACGTACTCAGCCCTGTAGACTTCATTCCAGAAGGTATCTTGCTCCTGGCTATTTGAGCTTTCTTCATATGGTTTAGAGAGTCTTGGAAACTAACATGCTGTCCTGTGGTTTGCTCAGCAATAAATCCCATAATCGGCTACTTGGATGATGTGATTATAGTCCTCATTTGCTTCCTCCATGTGTCTGCTCTATATCGTTCTGTACTCTATTCCCGTCATGGAGGTTCTTAGAAACTCCATTGCATCCATGGAAATTTGAACCAGCTAGTGAAGAAAGAAGGTTAGAGATTTCTCAAGGAATTGCAGAAAACCTCATGGACTCGTCAAGCAGGCAAAGGTGCAGAGCCACACAGTTCTCTTTGGCCATTTAAGTACGACTTTCTTCCTGGGCCTTTATACAAGGATGATTGTGGTTAGATTCCCCTTTCTACCGTGTGTTAGTGTTGCACACACGAAATCATTTGTCATATATTCTTTCCATTGGCAACTCTAGCTTTATGGTATCCAGTGATTTTCAACTAATGTCGGAACTGCCTTTAGTTGAAGAGAACCCATGGCCAGGGGAATATTTTGTTGGTTTTGATGTAGTAAATTGCACCTTAGGCTCCGTTTGTTTCACGGAAAATAACTTCCGGAAAAACGTTTTCCAGATTTTCCGGTGTTCGTTTCACGAAAAATAACTTCCCACGGAAAATATTTTCCTTCATATGGACAAAACTCCTTCACTTTTGAGGAAAATGATTTCCTTTTTCTTAAAAGAGGAAAACATTTTCCCGGAAGCCTTCTTTCACCATTTATTTTCACTATTTTCTTTTTCTTCTTCTTTCTCAGCCGGTCGCCGATCATGGCCGCAGCCGGCTAGCTTGAGCCTCACCACAGGCCGGCGAGGCTCGACCTCGCCAGATTTTGATGAGGTCAAGCCTAACCGGCTTGTGGCAAGGCTCTGGCTCGCCTGATCCGACACGGTCGAGCTCGCCCAAGGCCGGTTGGGCAAGCTCGGGCCTCGCCAGATCTAGCGAGCTGGGTCGAGGCGAGCCTTGGGCGAGGTTGCCAGATGTCGTCGAGGCTTTGGTGATCTTGGGCGAGCTCAGCCTCGCCAAAGGCCGGCTAGGCTCAACCTCGCTGGAATCTGGCGAGCTCGAGCCTCGCCGGCCTGTGGCGAGGCTCGAGCTTGCCTGTGGCCGGTCGCCGGCAGCCGTCGTGGCTGGTGACCTGTCGGAGAAGAAGAAGGAAAAAAAAGAAAAAGAAAAAAGGGAAAATTAAAATTTTTTTTAATAAATAAAAATTATTAAAAGTATTGTAAGGAGGAAAATTTTTTCATATCGAACAACGAAAAATATTTTCCGAGACTTTTTAAGATTTCAACGGAACACCGGAAAATTGTGTCATTTTCTAGGAAAATGACTTTCGGGAAAACATTTTCCAGCAACGTAAAATTTTTTGCGAAATGAACGGAGCCTAAGGGTGTGTTTGTTTTGGTGAAAGTGTTTTCCTGGAAAGTGTTTTCTGGTTCTGGACTTTTATCTGTTTGGTTCTCCGAAAATGATTTGGTCAACGGAAAATACTTTCCGGTCAACACAAATATCATGTTTATTTTTAGCAAAGTGAATTCCCTTAAAAACACTTTCCGGAATTGCTCATCTTGAATTTGTTAATATTTTTTATTTTTTTTTATTTTCTGTTTCTTTTCTTTCTAAGAAGGAAAAATTCATGTATTTTCTTTCTTAATAAAAATAATTTGAAATAATTTTAAAAATACAAAATTTTTTGAAAATTTTTACCATCGGATTTTCCTTTTCAAACAATTGAAAATATTTTCTAAGTCTTTTTCAGGTTTTAGCTAAACATCAAAAAATGAATCCCGGAAAATATTTTCTAGAAACGGTATGTTTTTCGCGAAACAAACGCACCCTAAGTATAGATATGATCATATTAGAATCTAGGATATGAATCTAAAGTGCCCGTCTATGGAACATGTCTCCATGAATGACTATGCACAGTGCTTCGGGAGTGCTACTCTTAATGCGTACAAGGTATTGTCACCATTTTGATGGACCGCCGGACTTGAGTTGTGTTCCCCTCCACTCTATTGAAAAATACATCGATAGCTGGCTGAGATGAGAGAGTGATGAAGTTTATCAAGTTATGTGTTCTTTGTCATTGGATAATTTCAAATTAGAACAAAGTCTAGAGAATTCAGTGAAAAATAATTTACACGCTAGGGGACAGAGTGGAACACATAAAGCTCAACAGACGGGGCTTGTAATATAAGTTTGTGTTCCAAAGTACTTAATATATGGACAACATTTTATAGAGGACCTATATATACAAGACTTACCGTTACATTTAAAAAGAAAACACCGCTAATGGTTATTATTCGGATAACCAATCGGTAACTTTTTGTGTTTCGAAATGAAGTATTCTTTTTAGCTAATCCGTGTATTTCTCAACAGTCGGCAATGCTTTGTTAGCTGAACTCATGATCGTTCCAGGGAACGGTTTCCTCACATTTCTGCTGACTGTCCCTTGTGTGGTGGCTTATTCTTGGAGTAGGCGGGCCATTCATTCTTTGCTCGTGCTTTTCAGTTTTTTCTCCCTATTGTTCTTCAAAGGGCATTGGAGCCTAATGTCTTATTAGGACAAAGAAGACTTAGTTGAATGCGGTTTTTTGTCTTGTTAGGACGAAGAAGAGTTAGTTTGAATTTGGGAGTATGTTTGCCTTATTTTTGACTATATTGATCTACTAAACTTGTGTGATCACTAAAACGGTCTGTTGATCGCTAAACACAAAAAAAAGAAAAACAAAGATGGCTGGCCGCCGGAATCTAAGAGTGGAGCATAAGTCTGCAGTAGAAGTTTTACAGACAGCCAAAAGCTATTTTTAGATTTTCCAGATATTTGACTAAAAATCATTGACTTGACCGTGGTTTGTGGTACAAATTCACAGATATTCAAATGTTTTCTTGATTGTCCAAATATTATTTGGCTAAACACGCAATCGAGAATCGTTTGTCCCTAAATCAGCAGGGCATTGGAGAAGAAAAGATAAATCATATTTCTTGAAATGGCATTAGAATATGAAAGCTGGTCCAACAGCATGACGTTTATCCAAAACATTGAACCAGAACGCCATCGGAGACTCCAGAGGTGGCTAAGGACTCGTTCTTGTCGTTTTTTGATCTGCTATGTCATTTTCATTCATCGTCGCATCTTACGCAAACCCGGCCATTCAACTTCGGCCCTCGCAACGTAACATCACAGTCATGGCACACTTGTTTACGTGGGATCGGGATTGGAGAGTAAATTAGGGTAGTTGGTTTACAATCGTCGTGGGAGAACTCGTTAGTATATTTCGGTGACTGAGACATATGTCGTGTCCTCTTTTCTGTCTTCGTTTTCTCACTTTTTTTTTGTCCTTTTCTCTTCCCCGACGGATCAATTGCACCGCGGCTTGCCGCCCCATCATTGTCTGGCGCCACTCACCACCGACGTGCCTCTAGCCGTCAAGTCCACCAGTGTTGCTGGCCATCTCTCTCTCTCATTGCCAAAATATGATGTCGCTGGCCTCCCGCGACCTTAGATAGGAGATCGCCTGAGGCTAGCCATCTCACCTAGCAGTTCGCACAGGGATGCATCGGCTACCGACGCATCATCCCTGATAGATGACGTAGGTAAGATACGGTCAATGAGCGGGTCAGACTTTAGTACCGGGCTGAAAGATCCTTGTCCAGGTTCGCTCATGCTTAAAGAATTATCGACTACTGGGTCTAGATAGACAAAAACGAGCCGGCATGGATCTACAACACGAGTTGCTTGGCCAGGCTTTGGTGAGCCTACCGAACCTTTCCATCTGTTGATCTTACCCGGTCAAAGCGAAACACCATACCATTTGCACGTTTCCATGTATAAGGATAGTTCAGAAAACTAGTATACCATATGGTAGATTGCTAGATTGGTGTTGGATATCATTCATTTGTTGAAAAACACACTTACAAGATGTCACCTGACTTAAAATTTCAATATGATGAACCAATTTTAGACTACGTGACATTACTCATTAAGGTTTAAAATCATTCACATATAAATCCTCGTGTTGGAAAGTCCAACCGAAATGTTCAAGTTAATAGGTAGAGGAGGAAGACCATATGTACCATGAAATTTGACCAATAGGGGTGGATGCACATACGGAAAGGACAGAAACCCAAAAGCTTTAAGCTAATGGGTGGAGGAAGACTACATGCATATAAAGAGCATATAAACCACATTGTCAAGCGATGTGAAATATTTCAATACCTTCAAAATCATTTGATTAAACCAATAGCAACAAAATTAATTGCTTTAAATCTATTCTATATCGTCAAAACAAAATATGGTGCATTAAGATGGTAAATGTGAAATAGGGAGTTGGCTTTTGAAAAAAATGAAGATAGTGCGGCTCAATTATCACCAAGATGGAGAGATTGCCACAGTAATACACCATTCGAATATTTTGACCATCTTGCTAGCCTCCTTCCTTCATGACATTCTAGTAAGGAAAAGTAAGTGGACACCCGTCCCAATAGGCATTGATCAAATGTTTAGAAGATGCGAGAGCATGCTTAACGTAAGTTTGCGGCAATTGTCCGATAAATTGTGTAATTTCTCTTATAATAGAGGGGCACCAAGTGCAAAGACCCAACTAACTAGAAATCCATAAAATATCTTATAAGTCTCATGAATTGATTAAATCCAAGTCTTTGGCTTAAGCAAACGGCCTTGATCCCTAGCAATTTGCACACAATACGTTGGATCCGGTCGAATGACCTCTAGTCTTTGATTTGGAAATCCCCTCCGCTCCAAATTGACCGGGTCACCTCTGAAGTTTTTGCAATTTTTTTTAATTAAAATCAATAACCTAGAAGAGATTGCCATATTTGACTGATGTGTCACAACCTTTCACTAGGTTGAAAAATGGAGCATATGTGCTCCCTCGACAAGACTTGGAGGAGTCAGTGACAGAAGTTTCTGTACCCTGATGTGTTACTAGATGTCTGGTCCACACTGAAGAGTAACTTCCTGGACGTTTTTCAAGAGAACTTCCTCTCGACCATTTCTCCTCGTTCTAGATGCAAAGGTGATGGACCGGCGTTGATGGTTCATGATCAGATCTGGGATCGTTGACACTCGATATTACGTGCAAAGTAATAAATAACAGTGGCCTGATGTGTTCACTCTACAAGACTTGGAGGAGTTAATGACAGAAGTTTCTGTACCCTGATGTGTTACTAGATGGCTGGTTCACACTGAAGAGTAACTTCCTGTACGTTTTTCAATAGAACTTCCTCTCGATCATTTCTCCTCGTTCTAGATGCAAAGGTGATGGACCGGCGCTGATGGTTCATGATCAGATCTGGGATCGTTGACACTCGATATTACGTGCAAAGTAATAAATGACAGTGGCGTAAAACTGTGTATTGCATGAGTTGTCAACTAGGGTTTTGCTAGGATACATGGAAAAGATAAAAAAAGAAAGAGATGTGCAAGAGCAAGCAACCGATTGACATGACTGGAACTGGTTCTTGGTACCTCATCAAAGATCGCTGCTCCGATAGT